AAGTGAAACACTTTATAAATTTTATATCATCTCACGTTAATTCTTCTTTTAATATTATAAATCGCTGTTCAAAAAACATGAAATGACAGAGAAGTCATAAAGAGTTTTTTTAGCATTTCTCTTATGTCCAAATGACTTGCAATAATTTGGTGATAATGGAACTGTCAAAATCACGTTTTGATGAAATTAGGGCAAACGAAATTTCTTGTTATTATGTTGGAGGTTTTCAATATCTAAAGTTTTCAATGTCAAATGTCAATGCCTGATTTTTTTGATCGGAAAATATAATATGTAATTAAGCATGGAAGAAAATAAAATACAGTCTGATTGGACCAGAATTAAGGAGCCCGTCAATGTCATAGTTTGAATCTTCCAACGCCCCGACTGACTCATGCTAATGCATGCTCCTCAGTGCTCACTCTATACATGAGGATTTTCTACTTATTTTTAAAGTATAGAGTACTTGAGCAGCATTTTACATGTCATATTATATGTTGGAGAAAATTAACATATTTTTTTGTCTTTCTACTTATTTTATAATATGTGGAGTACCTGCTTGAATACTAAAAATTTGAAAAAAAAATTCTCCCTACCTAGAAGGTTCAAAGATTAATGTCACATACTAATTTCGAGTCGCACTTCTCTCTTATAAATAATAGGAAAACTAATGAAAATGGCTTAAAAACTTTGAATTTTAACCAAAAACCAAGTAATAACTTTATTTAATAGTTAGAACAAAACCTAACATTAAAACGGTAAATTTAAAATGGCCTAATCATTAATTTCTGGTTTTGCCCCTGACGGCAAGCCTTTTTTCGTTTAATTTCACTTACAGATCTCCCTACTATTCTCTATCCTCCCCCATTTCTTCCTAACATTTGAAACCTTCCTTTTTTTATTTCTAGTTTCAGATCTCAACTCCATGCCTATCACTATGCAAAATCTATAGATACGATCTGACCCCAAACTTAATTTTGATCCATCTCCATCTCTATCAAAAGGCGATCTCTTACATGCAAAACGATGTCTCTCTCTCTCTCTCTCTCTCTCTCTCTCTCTCTCTCTCTCTCTCTCTCTCTCTCTCTATATTTCTGACTCTCTTTCCCTTCTGTAAAGATGAGAAGGGACTAGACTTTTCACCGACATCAGCAAAAAAACGTCATAGGTACGCAATCGTTCTCATTCTCTCTCTCTCTCTCTCTCTCTCTCTCTCTCTCTCTCTCTCTCTCCTCTACAATCTTTCTACTGTTTTGTCGCTCTCTCGATTGCACGTAATTTGCACTTAAAACGATGTGTTTTGGCTTCTGTTGCAGATCTTCTGATCATGGACTACAATTCTACAACGATGTTGGCGTGGTACGCTTTTGAATCTAGTTTAATTCAAATGTGTATAGCTAATTAAGCAATCAAGAAATATAGCTTCGGATCGTGAATTAAGGGTTCAGATCAATGTTGTTTGCTAGTTGATTGTTTTAGCTAGATCATAGTGCCAATCTCATACTATTTTTTTGTGTCGGGTTCAAAATTTAGATTGAAGTATTTAGAATTAAGTCATTTTTGTAGTTTATAGCTTTTCTCTGTCCAAGGAAATAAGGTTATATGTTTTATTTTATATATATGATTATACATTTTGCGTTTTCTTATGCGATGTAATTGTAAAACAAGGAAATCTTTTAGTTCATCAAGAAGTCGGTTTATATGTTATTATAAACCGATTTTAAATCATTCTGATGCTTTTGCATTTTTAAGCTTTGATTTCTGAGTTCTTCTGGAATTTTGGGATATATTTTATTGTGACTTTTACATTCATCTTTCCACTATGTGAGTATATTAGCTGAAGAAAATCTGGATAAGGGAAAGTATCTTTTGTGCTCTTGATTAGTGAAATGGATAAATGACTGTGTGAGATTCTGAGTTTGTTTTAAGTTTTTAATGTTGTTTCCACTTTCAGTGTACTTCCTCGATTTCAAACTTAAGTGTAACTTTGCTATGAACATATTCCCAGTAATCCACATTTTAGCAGTACCCCAAAACCTTTCAAGAAAAATGATTAAGCCACTTTTTTATTGATCAATGCATGTCAATTTATGTTTGGTTATGGGTGTGCATTTTTAGACGAATTTGTAATTACATGCCTCTTCATTATGAGGAACTGCAATCTGTGTAGAAGCTTCCTAAGTTAGTGTTTTGTGATTGCAGCATCTTTATTGATCATAAGATTTTGGTTGAAGCTTATTCTTTTCATTCCAATATGTTCCCAGTTGTTGTTCACTGGTATATATGTTTCAGAGATGGTATGGGTGTCGTGCAATGATGCTGGAGACTGTGGCAGTTGTCCCTAGCATGGTAGGAGGAATACTGCTGTACTTAAAGTCTCTACTTAAGTTTTAGCGGAGTGGTGGTTGTAAAACCTGCATGATACACAAGAATGCTGGTTCTACTATATACAACTTGAGAAATTACATGCTACCTATATTGGTTTTGAATTTTATGTGATTGCCCTTACACAATTCATAGTCTAGTGCATGTGATGAAAGTTATCTCATGTCCATTTCAAGAACTTTTCAAGACAATAACAATATATTTTTCTTGGGTAAAAAGTGCAGGTGACAAAGGTGGAGACAATTTCTCCTCCTTGGGACTTTGTGGACACTCCTTGTGATTATGCTTCTTACTGCGGAGGATGTAAAACACAAAATTTGATTTATGAGGCGCAAGTCAAAACTAAGGAGCAGCAAGTTCATCAGTTGATTATTAACTTTGAAAGTTTTCTCGCACAGAACTGGAATCTCTAAGCATTATGAAGCCCATCAAAAAACATGCTTTTGCCATAATGCTTTCCTCTTGTTTTTATCACATCAGAAAACAGTTACTTAATTTAGCTAACACAACATACTTGCTATTTGTCATTTAACACCTTCAAGAATCAAAGTATCAAAGTACTCTATTCTGGTGTAATGCATACATTTCTGCATATTCTTAATTTTACCTGGAAATCCACTGTAAAATAAATTTCTAAGAATCTGTAAATCAAGTGTACTTTGTAATTATTTTATTTTATTTATCAATGTGTATTAATTTTTATTTTGCAAAAAAAAGAAGTAATTTTTGATATTTTCCAACATTTTTGTAGAGGAATTCTCATTTGGTTCTCAAAAATGGTTGCTTAAGGAAGAATTGATGGAGAGGCAAAATGGAATTGAGAACCATGCCCTGGGATTGCAAAAAATTACCATCAAAGATTTTATGGTGTGTATAAAATTACCATAACACTCTCTCCGGCTAATGAAGAGGCTACCCAATCTTCTCATCCATTCCTTTTTCTCTCTAAAAATTGAGCGAACCAAGTTCACCGTCATATATGACGGAAAAGGATCCTTGCTGGATCTCTTTCCTAGCTATCCTAGGGATCCCGTGATCTCACTCGTTCATCTTATATCGTGTAGTTAGTTTTCGTTAGGTACTATTCATATTTAATTTAAAATTTAAAATTTTGAAACGATTTCTGACCACACGATATACGATAAACGGATGAGATCACGGGATCCTTAGGATTCCTAGGAAAAGATCCAGCATGGATCCTTTCCCATATATGACAACCAATGTTGCTCGCGACTCCTAAAATCCTTGGCCTTGTTTTCCAACCTCGCTCTCAACTAATACTTTATGGTTAATTATGTCTGCTAGAAAAAGGACATGGACTCTAAGGGTGTGTTTGTTTGGCATCACTAGCCCTCATTAAACTAGATTGGACTAAGTTTTAGTCTAGTCTTGTGTTTGTTCCCTACCTGGACTAAGTTTAGTGGGACTAGTAGGGACTCGCCTTGATTGAGTCCCTCGCTAACAGGTCTTAGCGAGACCCCCCGATTCGGAGAGGACTGCTAAGCTGCCCTCTAATCCCGTCATCTCCCTTCTCCTGCAATTTGATCCTCACCCTGCTCCCTCATCGTCGTCCTCCTCATCCTCATCTCTGCGTCCTGCTCACCCTCAACTGCATCCTGCTGGCCCTCATATGCTCCTCTTGTCTGGTAAACTTCGAATCCGACATTATTTCTTCAATTTGTTTTGTAGATCGTGGTATTACTGGGCTTTATTTGAGTTAGGTGCTTTGGGTTTGAGAAATTTTCAATAATAAACCTCTGCACTTGAACAAATTAAAAAAATTAAGGTTTTAATTTTTAGGGTCAAATTGAGATTAGAATTTGGGGTTTTCACATTTTATGCCATTTCAGTCCCAAAATGATGATAATCATCATGAAATTGCTGTTGTAAGGGAGGATGCAAAGTTAAATTTGTAATTTAGGTCTAGTTTCAATAGATTTTGGTATCATGTTGGACTAGAGTTTTTGGATTTTGGTATCGGGTTTGAGAAATGAGTTGAGTTGCATTTAGTAACTACACTCACACATTGTCCTGTATAAATTTCATCTTAAACCTTATGGGTGGGATCTCACTTGTTGCAACAGGTTCACAAGGTTCCAGTAACTACATGGAGGCCCTTAAATCTCCACTCATGGGTCTGATTGAAAAGCTCATTGCACGCAAGTTCATTCTATATGTTCAAGATTATAGTGAAACTGATCCTAAAACACATGAGGGAATGAACTTAACAAGAGTGACCACTAGAGATTTGATCGCGTAAGTGCTAGGGCAATAACCTTTTTTGCAAATGAACTCTATAATCATTCTAAGAAGAATCATAACTTGTGTCTTTACAATCTCATTGGTACCAATGCTTTGTCTATGTTTTCTATTGTATAGGGTTCCTTGTAGAAAAGAAAGTTGGTCTTATTTTGATAAAGTAACAATCCAAGAACATTTATTTATATTTTTGTATGGTTGATGTTTTGACAGAAAATATGGTCTTGATGACAACATGTTGACTTCATTAGGCATGCTTTGGCACTTCATAGGGATGATTGCTACCTGAATGAGCCTGCTCTAGATACTATGAAAAGAATGAAGGTAAATACTAGTCGGGGTTCATAGATGTTGAATAAGCCTGAGTACAGTTTATGGTGGGACTTATATGTTGAATAAGCCTGAGTGCAAGGTAATCCTTACACTGTTTTCTTGGGTTTAACACTCTTTCATTTTGCATTAGTTTGTGTTTAATTCCTGTCTAGACACTGAGTTTGATGCATGATGCTAGGTAGAGTTCAACGAGGAAGGGAAAGTTATCGGTGTCACATCTGAAGGGGAAACTGCTAAGTGCAAAAAAGTTGTATGTGATCCTTCTTACTTGCCTAACAAGGTAAACCTTTCTGAGTAAAGTATTTAAAGGTGGTGGGACGTTAATATTAGTTTTATGTTCATCTTATGCCTTACAAGTATGCATATGGTTGTTTTTATTTATAGGTCTGCAAGGGACACAATATCTTCTCTGTTCTTCTGTATCTTGCTTGAAGGGTGAAGAAAAATGCTTATTCCCCAACACTTACTGAAAAGTTATTGCATTTTGACAGGTTAGGAAGGTTGGTAAGGTTGCAAGAGTTATTGCCATCATGAGCCACCCAATTCCAAACACCAATGAATCTCACTCAGTGTAGGTTATCCTGCCACAGAAGCAGTTGGGTTGCAGATCAGATATGTGAGTTCTCTTATCTTTTGTTTGGGACCAATTTTAATTTTGCAATGAATGTCGTGTGCATATTTGAGAAGGTCCTTTGTAACTGTTGCTTTAGAAAAAACAATCCCATGACTAAGTTGTTTTATGCTATGGCAAGGAAATGGGTTTTCTTTAATAGAAAGAAAGGAATGGTATAGTTTATATGCATACAATGTCTAAACCATAATTTTTAAATTTCTGTTGTGTAATTGGATATGCAATTGCAATGTTATATCGGGTGGAGGGTATAGTCAGTTATATTATTCTATAACTGTTGGAAAGGTTTCATGGTAACACTTGCTTGATGCATATTAATATCATCCTACTATCATTTCGACTCCAAACTACTACCAAAAGGAGAAAACAGTGGTATTTAGAGCAGGCCTTTGGGGAACTCGTGCATACTTCGAACCAATAGCTTGTTGGTGAATATTTATTCATCCCGAGTGATCCCTTTGTTTCTTTTTACTGTTTCATAGAACCATGTCTTTCATATAAGGTTTAACCAAATTTCCTGGAATGTTTGAGCAGGTTCTTGACCTCAGTGTGGACCTAAGTGCTACTAGTGCTGCAGAAGAATGAATAGCAAAGCTGCATGTGGTGCTTGAAGTGATAATTGTGCTTTGTTCCAAGTACACTGAGCTACTTAAGTTACCTTACCCGTGGCGGTGGTAATCCTCATACCGTGGAGGATTATATGAGTTAACACTCATTTTTAATCATAGACTTGATATGTTATATATTGTCATTTAAATGTACTTGAAGTTTCAAACGTCGTTTCAAATGAAAACTATATGTCTAGATTTCGGACATGCCCTTGTGTTGGTTCAATGTATTTTCAGGTTGCGAGTATGTGTGGAAGCATGTAAACAAAATGATGACTTGTCAGAGAACTATTTCTTTCAAGTTAATGATGTGTGGGGTGGATTTGGTTCTAATCGTTTTGGTTTTTTGCCTCGCATGGTTGTGGTCTTGGGATTGAATGCAATTGTCATGGTATGGACTGAAATTGGCTTATACATACAAGAGCAATTCCAAGTAATTATTTCACAATTGAGTAAAAAACTGAACTTGTCAGACATCAAATTTCGTTATACTCAAATACCTTTAACTTTAATCTACAACTTTAAACCAAAGGTGAATAATTAAGAAAAGTGTCATGAACCCTGTCGATTGTTGGGAAAACACTTTGTTATATTCATGTTTGGAACAATGCTACTCTTGAATCATGTATGTTTCTTTCGTTGGCAAGAAAATTTGGTTTTTGTATTTTTATTGAGTCACACTCTCATCCAATATTATTAATTTTAATAATATATTTAATATAAAAAAACAATTAAAGTAGAACAATAATGTAGTACTAGTCTGAGCAAACATCAAACCGGTGACAGTACTGTTTTCATTATCCTACTTCTTAGTCCGACACTGCACCAAACGCTTCACTAAGCTAGTCTAGCTTAGTCTAGTCTAAGACAGTCCAGCTTAGTCCCTGCAGCTAGTCCAGTTTGAGACAGTCCGGTACAACAAACACACCCTAAGAGCTTGAGAGCATCTTTAAGGACAAATTTTTTTAGTATTTGTTAAAGAAAAAGAAAATAGGATGTATTTGTGTGTGTGATGTGTATTACTAAACAAAAAGGTTTAATGGGAGATGAAATAGTGGGAGTCTCGTATTAATTGAGACAAACAATGGTTTGACATGTTTAATTTGTTTCCGCTTTCATTAATAGTCAGTTATTGGTCTAGTTTTATAAATAGTGTCTAGTTCTTGGTCCACTTTCATAAATAGTGATCTTGTTCTTAGTCAAATTTCATAAATAATGCCTAGTTTTTTGTCTTGTTTCATAAATAGTGTATAACACTTAGTACAGTTTCATGAATAGTGTCTCTTTCTTGGTCTAGTTTCATAAATAGTGTTTCTTTCTCAATCTAGTTTCATAAATAGTTTTCACCTATTAGTTTAGCTTTTGAATAGTGCCTAATTCTTGTTCCACTTTCATAAATAGTGACTTAATTCTTGGTCCAGTTTCATAAATAGTGCGTAGTTCTTTGTCCAGTTTCATAAATAGTGGCCTTGTTCTTGGTTCAGTTTAATAAATAGTGTCTAGTTATTAGTCCAGTTTCATAAATAATGTATAGCAATTGGTACAACTATACTATGATAACAAAGTTGATAAGCAAATGCTTTCGTTGGCTCTCGGTCCGGAAAGGCGAGTAAAATATTATCCTGGTTACTATATGAGTGGGTTTAGGTTTCATACATTGCAACATGATGAGAATAAAAAAACACAAAATTGTGGAGTTATGGTTAAGGGGGAGAATCTGATTGATAGTGTGCCTTGGTATGAAGTATTAAAAGACGTGGTTGAGCTTCGTTACACAGAAGGCAATAGAGTTGTATTGTTCAATTGTGAGTGGTATGACATTGTGCGAAAAAGAACAGGTTATAAGATAGATCATTATGGAATAATTAGTATTAATACAACTCGCAAGTTGAATACTAAAGAGCCATTTGTGCTGGCAAACCAAGCAACCCAAGCTTTTTATGTGAGAGAGATTAAAAACAAGACTTGGAGTTATGTGGTGGAAACGAAGCCTAGAAATGTTTATGAGATGCCTAATGTTGATGATGATGATGATGAGCCATACCAAGAAGAAGAGGCGCATGGGGGTATTCAAGCCAACCAAAATGATGACGAAGATGATGAAATTGTGGGATAAGCTCTCATTGTGATTGTGTGTGTTTTTTTTTTATCTGAAAATTTAGTTGTGGAAGTGATGTGGTTATACTTTGTTCAATGTCCATGACAAATGTTATGATTTAACAAAGGCATGCAAATTATTTCTTTATCATAGAATACTATATTAAGTTATAAACCTTTTTGCTCAATGGTTTTATTTTTAATTTTATGGTCCAATTTTCTCCATATGTATTCTAAGCTATATAATCTATTTATTGTAGAATTTAAATTAAGCATCAAACTTATTTCAAGAATATTCAAACGACACATGTGACCTTTAGTAAATAATTGATTCCAACAAAACCATATGCCTTAAAATTTATTCTGACAAAGAAAAAATTTTGTCGGAAAAAATATGATTACTTTTGACAACAACTAATCACCCTCGAAAATATAAAATCATTACTGAGAAAACTTTTTTTCCCTCAAAAATATAAAAACATTACCGAGAAGACTTTTTTCCCTCGAAAATACTAAATCAATTTCGTCAACATGAGTAAACCTTCAGAAATAACCATTCTATTTCCTATAAGAACTTTACTCGTCGTTAATATAACTAGCGCCAGTTCTTCCCGCCAAACAAAAGTACAATTCCGAGGAAACTTGAGACTTTTTCCGAGTACATCATGTGCGTTGGTAATAAAAATTTGTTTCATGCCATGTTACCGACGGCTCATATTTTATGGTCGCAAAATGTGTTTTTTACAACAGTTTTTTTGGGCCCTCAGAAAATCGTCGTCGGTAATGACTACTTTTTTTGTAGTGTTTCTTTTTTGGTCTTGTTTCATAAATAGTTTTCAGCTATTGGTTTAGTTTTGAAAATAGTGTCTCATTCTTGATTTGGTTTCATAAATAATGTCTACTTATTGATCCAGTTTCATAAATAGTGTCTCCTTATTGATCCAATTTCATAAAAATTGTCTAGTTCTTGTTTCACTTTCATAAATAGTGGTCTAGTTTTATAAATAGTGCCTAGTTTTTTGTCCACTTTCATAAATAGTGACCTTGTTCTTGGTCCAGTTTCATAAATAGTGTCTAGTTCTTGGTCCAATTTCATAAATAGTGTATAGCAATTGGTACAGTTTCATAAATAGTGTCTCTTTCTTGGTTTAGTTTCGTAGATAGTGTTTCTTTCTTGGTCTAGTTTCATAAATAGTTTCCACCTATTGGTTTAGTTTTAGAAATAGTGTCTCATTCTTGATTTGGTTTCAAAAATAGTGTCTCCTTATTTTAAGGAGGATTAGAATGACATACTCTAATATAAAAATATACGATCAATAATGGTACCATTTGACAATTTGACAAATAATCATCTAGACATCTTACTATTATACATATATCCCGGATTTTACTAAATTCGTTCTTTTAAATATGGCTAAATAATAAAACTTGTAACTCAATTGGTTAAGTATAGGGTATTTAAGCAATACTTTGCATGCCATAATACAAGTGAAGCAAATGATATATTTTTTTTTTGTGTCTTTATTTTATAACACATGGAGTACTTGCTTAAATATTGGATACTCAAAAAAACTTCTCCTAACTAAGAAAGTTCAAAGATTAACATCATGTACTAATTGTAAATCGCGCATTTGTCACTTATATAGAATACACTTGCAAGCGTGGTAGACTAATGATTAAGAGGTGATTTCCTCATTAACGTTTATCTTCCACGTACTCCTCTTTTTTTAATCTTTTATATATTTAATAAATCAAATCGATAAAGAGAAAACGACAGTACGAATATATACTACTTATAATTAGGGGTGGTTTGGTTTAGGTTAACGAACCGAAATGGTCGTTTCAAAAACTGAACCGAAATTGTTCGGAAAAAGAGGGCGAAATACCAAAACCAAACCTTTTCAGCCCCAAATGTTAAGCTATGGGCCTAAACTCATGTGCTCTATTCCTCTCCATTTCCCGGGCAAAAATACTTGTAATTATTAGAATTACATCAATTTAATGAAAAAGTTTGTATCTTACTATGATCACATTAATTCAAAAATTCCTATTGAAAGGAAACAAATTGCTGCAATTGCATTAGTACACCATTACAGTACAGACCTCAACAATCCCTAATCTCAACCATTACACGAAAAGGTCTGACCTCAACAATCTTCTAATCTCAAATCAAAATTCGAAATCCAAATCGGAACTCTAATCCCCATTTCAAAATCCCAAATCGAAATCCTAATTGAAATATGACGAATTAAAGGGAAAATTTCTTACATTGAGTGAG